GACCACAGGCGCCTGCCACAACGCCCGGCTATTTTTTGGCTGCAGCCATCATTGTTGTTTGGCGGGCCCGGGCTGGGGATTCGAACCCGCCACCTTAGGTGTATGTGGCTGGCGCATTAGCCACTTGAGCCACAGGCGCCAAGCCACTGGGCTAGTTTTTAAAGACAAGGTCTCACTTTTTCTCAGGCTGGTCTTGAACTCCTGAGCTCAAGTAGTTCACCTCCCTCAGTCTCCCAGAGTGCTAGGGTTATAGGCATGAGCCACGGTGACTAGCCTTAAAAAGTAACTTATAAGGAATTATTTAATATATCAATCCAGATGCACATATTGACATTCAAGAAGAAAAAAGCTTAAAAGTTTTGGTTAAGAGATTACTTGAAACCATTTGCTACATTGTATTTTGAACTAATACAAAAACAATTATTGAGAAAAGAATGATAAAGTAATATCCAAAACATTCCAAGTGGTTTTACCACTTTATTTTTAAACTACTTTCTGTGAAAGTATAAGCAACTCAGATTAATCTTGCTGTTCTTGTAATGTATTCAAAGTATGAATACAAAATGAGATTGCTGCCATAGGCAAAGAATACTTCCGATTATGTTATTCAGATAAACCAAGTGAGCCAAAGAAGAAGAATGAAATATTTATATATCAATGAAAACTTTTAATTTGTTGATAGTTTTAGAAATTGTCTTAGTCCAGCACACTTGTGTTTTGAAACAGGGTCTCACTTTGTTGCCTAGTCACTAGATCGTGACTAGATCGTGCAGTAGCATGATCATAGCCTGCTGCAGCCTTAAACTTCAGGACTCAAGTGATCCTCGTGCCTCAGTGTGTGGAGTAGCTGAGAAGACTACAGGAGTGTGTTACCACACCTAGCTCATTTTAAAGAACTTTTTGTAGAGATAACATCTTGGTGTTGCCCAGGATAGTCTTGAACTCCTCGCCTCAACTGTTCTTTCTGCTTTGGCCTCCCAAAGTGCTAGGATTACAGGTGTGAGCCACCATGGCTGGCTAGTGCAGCACATTTATGTTCAATGCATAAAATATTTTTAACATTTCTACTAATGTATTTCAGGGGAAAAAACCCTGTATCTTCATAAAGGGAGAAAGTTATAACTTTATCTCTTAGAATATAAATATCATAATACCACCTATGTACATTATGTTCATGAACTTGAATATTAACTCTTAGTAAGCAGAATACACATTACTGGCTCGGCACCTGTGGCTCAAGCGGCTAAGGCGCCAGCCACATACACCTAAGGTGGCGGGTTCGAATCCCCAGCCCGGGCCCGCCAAACAACAATGATGGCTGCAACCAAAAAATGGCCGGGCATTGTGGTGTGCACCTGTAGTCCCAGCTACTTGGGAGGCTGAGGCAGGAGACTCGCTTGAGCCCAGGAGTTGGAGGTTGCTGTGAGCTTTGATGCCATGGCACTCTATCCAGGGGGATAGCTTGAGGCTCCGTCTCAAAAAAATAAAAAAAAATAAAAAAAAAGAATACACATTACTGCCCTCTTTTGACGCAAGGATATAGAAGCCTGTCTTCTTTTTCTTAATTAAAACATTGTTAAAAATTAGATTGCAAGATACATTATGTTTCATATTCTTCCTATATATATATTTTTTATAACTTTTTAAATTCTTCTTTTTAGGCTCTCTGGTTAATCATCTTTAGAAGACTGGATTTCTGGATATCTACTCCACTCCATCTCTATTGACTTTTAAAACATGATAATGCAAACCTATAACACTGGCAATCATCCATGAACTTTTAATTACATTGATTAATAGCGTTTGAAGCTTCCTCAGGGAATAAACAATGACATCAGCAGTGGTTGACAGTGGAGGTTCTATTTTGGAGCTTTCCAGCAATGGAGTAGAAAATCAAGAGGTTAGGCATCCAATGTATTACATGTCTGTTTTGTTCATAGAAACCAATGCATGAACTAATTTTGAAATGAATGGGAAACAAGTATTGGAGAATAGAAATTTATATTATATAGAATATAATTTAGATAGAAGAAGGTTGAGGAAAGTACTGCAGGGCTCACCTGAATTAATGGAACATACATGGCATCAGAATGAACTTGGAAAAAAGAATACTATAGAAAATGGGAAGAAAGAGTACTATATGTAGTATTAGTTGAGAGATAAATTTAAATCTCTGATAAAATCCATAGTCTAATGTTATCGAGTGTGTAGAGAGTATATAGTACCGTACCTAAATACGTAAATTAGATTCATCTTCAGTTAGAATTTTGTATCTGCTTTACTTGTCATCCTTATTTTTTGGTTATTCTACTACTTCTAAATCAGTATGGACATCCAGTGTATCTTAATATCACATATACACTTAACAAATATTGATAATTAGTCAGGAAATAAATTGAGGTTTGAAATTTTACACATGTAGAATTTTGAATTATTAGCTTATTTAGTTTTCTTGTTGTTGATAACAGTGAAGAATGAGAAAGGAATAGAAAATAACTGTACCAGAAATATATGGATTTCCAGATCCTGGCCTCTGTTACTGCCATTTACTAAAGCTGATTTTGGAAGAGATCTAAATAATTATATATTAGTGCTCATGTAATAATGGACAAATATTTGATTAGACATGAGGTGGAGAAATGGGGAATTTTATGAATTTAAAAAATCTGTTTTCTCTGAAAGATGCTGCTATTACTAGCGCTTGGTACCAGCATAATGGGATGGTGGCTTTAGAAACAAGTTAGGACGTCAGTCTGTGTGTTCTGGAGTCTGAATTCTTCTTCTTCTTTTTAAAAAAAATTATTTGGGATTCATTGAGGCCACAAAGAATTAAGTCACACTGATTGCATTTGTTAGATAAAGTCGCTCTTAAAATTGTGTCCCGCCCCCAAGATGGAGTTTGAATTCTTTTTCTTGCTTGCTTGGTGTCTGCTTAGTTTTCTAAGATCCCCATCAGCTGTGGGCAAATTTTGTGGGAAGAGGACCCAGTGAAGGTACTTCTTTTCTTTTTTATGGTAGACCAGATAACTCCTAAATGTTTCTTTTGTATTTAAATCCCAAACTGATTCTAAGTCCATTAAAAGAACCATAGCTACAAAACCTACTTTATTCCCATAATCAATATCTATTCCTTCCTTCAAGATTCATTTTCTATGTGAGCATATTCAGGTTTATTTATCAGAGAGATTAGGGACTTGGGGAACTGTCATTCCCCTCCCGTATCACCCAGCCCAAACACTAAGTGCTTTCTCTCTGTCTTGTAGTTTTGCTCTGTTGGCATTTAACCTCCTGGTGGAAGCCACCAGGAGCAATAGGCAGAATATTGTGCTAATTAAAATGTATCGTTATTGTTAATATGGGGAAAAAGAGGACAGTACTTTGTTTCTGAAGACTCCTTATATTTTTCTTCCCTTATATGAAACCCCAAGTGTTCATGGCCAGGAGAACTTATCATGGAAGAAAGAATCTGATAAATGAAATTACTTTACCAACTTGTTACTGACTAGTGATTTATGTGGTAGTCTTACAAGAGTGGTCACATTTTATGGAGGAAGTCAGAAGAAGGTTAACCCTCAATGGGCATTTTAGGCAGTGTGGCACCCAAGTAGGAGAAACTATTCTTGGGGAACTTGTAATGCAAATTATACTGTGGAGGCACCCCAATACTTTTGTTTATTTTTTCCTTTGACAAATATTAATTAGCCACTTACTATCTATCAAGTACTCTTCTAGGCAGTGGGAATAAAGTTTGAGGAGTACGAAAAATAATTCAGGGCTAGAGATGGATGGATAAGGTACTGGGGGTATTTTAATTAGGCAGTTAGAGAAAGTTTCTCTGAAGAGGCGACATTTTAGTTTAGAGCTAAATGAAGTGCGGGATGGGATCATATAAATATCTGGCAGAAGAGAATTCCATGAAGGAGATCTAGGAAGAGAGAAAAGCCACTAATGTGAAAAATGCATTCTGATTTTACGAAGGGTGATTTGAGAATGATGGCTTTTCAAACAGATTTTTATCTTCTGAGCAACTTTTCAGGAATATGTTTTCTATATACAGTTAAGATCTGTACTCTAAAATGTAGGGTAGGGTGGAAAACTCACTTGTCAGGATTTTATGTCAAGATTTTATAATTATGGTCCCAGAATCTGAAGAAAAAGGAAATGTTTAAAAAGTGGTAGGCATCTAGAATATTATTGTCAAGATTTTCAGCCTTTTAAAATAACTTTTTTCCTGATTATAAAAGTAATAGCATTTTATAAAATTAGGATTATTCTGACAGTGATTTTACAAAAATGTAAACAATGATCTAATAATAAATATAGATGTAAAAATTATTTTAAAAAATACTAATAAGTATATAAAAGGCACTTATATATTAAAATATTCAACTATCAAATATGATTTAGATAAATAGAGATAATTTAATATTAGAAAAGTATTAATATAATTTATTATGTTAGTTAGGGATAAGGTTATGATTTTACTTTTCTGAGACAGAGTCTCACTCTGTTGCCCTGGGAAGTGGGTAGAGTGCTGTGGCATTATAACTCAGAGCAACCTCAAACTCTTGGGCTCAAGTGATCCTCTTGCCTCAGCCTCCCAATAGCTGGGACTACAGGCTCCTGCCACATGCTCATCTAGTTTATTTTTTTATTTTTAGTAGACACAAGGTCTCACTCATACTCAGGCTGGTCTCAAACTCCTGAGCTCAGGCCATCTACCCACCTAAGCCTCTCAAAATGCTAGGATTACAGCATGAGGCACAGTGCCTGGCTAGAGGTAACATTTTTGGTGAAATGAGGCTTGGCTCGGACAATCCACCCGCCTCAGCCTCCCAGCCCCATGTAGCCATTTTTTTAAAATACTGGAAGTACGGGCTTGGTACCCATACAGGCTTGGTGCCCGTAGCAAAGACCTGGGCCAGCTAAACAACAATGACACATGCAACAAAAAAATGGCCAGGCGTTGTGGTGGGAGCCTGTAGTCCCAGCTACTTAGGAGGCTGAGGCAAGAGAATCGCTTGAGTCCAGGAGTTTGAGGTTGGTGTGAGCTGTGACGCCAGAGCACTGTACCGAGGGTGACATGACAAGACTCGGTCTCACACACAAAAAAAACTGGAAGTACAAGAGGAAAAGACTTTCAAACTTGTGCTGTGAGCCAAGAAGAAAATTTCTTTTGGATCTATGTACTCAGATAAGCAGGCAGATTGATTAAAATATTGACATCAAACCGTCTGGAGCAGTTGTGTGTGTTTATAGGTGCTTGCAGATGCACACATACCTGTGTGTTGGGAAAACGGTATTTTTTCCTTCATCTTAGTTTAGTCTACTGCGCAAAAAAACCTCACTTTGAGTTGAAGAAATGCCATTGGTCATATTATAAATAAACCCCGTTTGGTCATGTTATACCTTTTATATGCTGCTGGATTTGATTGCTTGTTTCCATGCTCACAAAGGATGCTGGTTTGTAGTTTCCTTTTCCTATAATATCTTTGTCTGGGCTTGGTATTAGGGTAATGTTGACTTTATAAAATGAGTTATAAAGTACTTTCTTCTCTATTTTTTTGAGTTTGTATAAAATTCGTATTACTTTTTTCCATAAATGCTTGGTAGATAATTAAAGCAATTTAGTACTGGAGTTTTCTTTGTGAGAAAGATTTTAACTAAAAATTTAATTCATTTAAGATCCAGTAAGATGGGACATTCAGGCCTCTTTTGGAATGACTTTCAAGGAATTTATGTTCTTTCAAGTTTATTGGCAAAAATAATTCCTAATACTATCAATAGTAAATACTTCTTTTTATTCCTGGTATTAGTAATATTTGCCTTTTCTGTTTCTTCTTCTTGTCCAACCTAGTTTGAGATTTATCAGTTTTATATTTTTTAAAGGACTTGCACCAGGTTTGAGTTCTTCATTAGTTTTCTTTTTTACTTTGGTGATTTTAACAACTTCTTATTTCCTTCCCTCGACATACATTGAGTCTAATTTGATTTTCATATTCTAGCTTGTTGAGGTGAAAGCTTAAGTAATTGATTTTAGACTTCTCCCTTTT